GAAAAAGAAAGAAAAAAGAAAGAATAAAAGCATATTTAAAGTAAAATATGTATGAATACCTCCTCTTAGTGAGAATTTAGTTTGAAATACTAGCAGGGAATGTGTGGTTGGGATTGTCTTTAACAAATATACAGCAGCACCGGTGATGAGGGCTTCATTCCCAAGGGTGTACAATGATCCCCACACAGGCTTACATTTCTCTAGTTTCGCTTTTGTTATAAATGCAAAAAAAGCAAGGTGTGTGGATAATAGCATGGCCTCTTGGCAACTCTGTCACTTAGCCTGTATGTATTATGCACGCTTAGGTGTGGTCACCCCTCGCTCCTTGATGGCCTCAAGGCAGGTAAGTCCCCGAAGGACAGACTGACTGCCGTGTTCATGAAGTTCCATGGGATCTGTGCCCTGCACACCTGTGACCCAGAAGAGGCTCACAGAGGAATGCAGAGAGAGAAAAACACAACTAAAGGAAAGTTAACTCACTTCTCAGAGTTCAAGTGTGTGCCAGTGAGAACCTTTATTCTGACTATAGATTCTATGCAATTTATTGGACCTCATATCTGCTGAATTGTTTCGCTGGAAGCTGCGCTACATTACAATTTCTTAGAATTATCCAGGATAGAAAAACTAAACACTAATGTGACAAAATCAAGGCGGCTGCTGTGTGGTTGAATATACAAAACCCAACCTGTCTGCACATCCACTGGAGGCCCTTCTGAGTAGAGAGCAGCTAGGGGAAACTGTTGACAATCCTTTTCTCAGACTAATAGATGTGCTGTGTCCACCTTTAATAAACAGTAAACCACTAGTCTTTTAAACAAAACAAAACCAGGCCACTCACAAGCCACATATGTGAGTTTTGTCTGGCTATTAGGAAAGTACTCAAAAGTGCATCTTTTGGTGCAAGTTCCACAGCAAGTGTGTGTCACTGCTGCACAGGTGAGGGAACTTGGGGGCAAGGAACCTGCTGAAGAGGGAAACTGAGGCCAGAACCTCCTGCTTGAGAAAATTTATATTATTTGTTCTCTTGGGACAGGATTAGCTGATTCTGAATACATCTGATATTGATAGCTCTTAAACAGAAAGAGCTTCTGCCAGGATGCTTTCTCTACTCCATACACGTGTCACTGCCTGTTGATCATTCCTATCTGGATCCCCAAGCAGCTTCTCAAGCTAAATTCACATTGAACCTGAAAACAGACTTCCTTGCTCCTCCTTTCAGCCTCAGGGCAGGGACTCTCCAGTTGGACCAGATGCTTCAAGCCAAAACCCAGAGTCAGGACAATTCCTACACCCCATCTCTTCCCAAGAATCTCTCAGATATACTCATTCTCCAGCCCAACCCAAGCACCCCTAAGCCTCCAAAAGGTTGTTAAGCAATCTGCCTGGAAGATCCACAAATCCCCTGGAGCTGCAGAGACCAGCTGGGTTAGTACTGTTAAAGTGCTGTACCCATTTCCTCAGCTAATGCTCCCCTGGGACCTTAAGAACGAGAGGAGCAGGCCAAAAGAATTAGAAGAATCATACCACAGCAATATATATGCACCCATGTTCATAGCAGCACAGTTTGTAATAGCTAAATCTTGGAAACAGACCAACTGCCCATCAACTGCAGCCTGGAAAGAAAGTGTCTGCAGCCTGGATAAAGAAAGTGTGTGTGTGTGTGTGTGTGTGTGTGTGTGTGTGTGTGTGTGTGTGAACAAATAAAATGGAGTACTACTCAGACATAAAGAATGAGAAATTAGAGACATTTATAGTTAAATGGATGCACATACTCTTCAGTGAAATAAATAGAACAGACATGTAAATACCAAATAGTTTCTCTGGTATGAGAAGCTGAAACTATAAATAAGGATCAAAAAGTGTAATGGATAATGTAAAATAGGAAGAAAAGGTCCAAAGGGGAAGGGGAAGTGAGAGGGCTTGGGGGAAGAAAAGAAGGGAATGAAATTATGAGAAAAGGAAAAAATGGAAACAAAGTCTTTGTAAATAGGGAGGGGTGGAGGGGTTGAAGGGAGGGAGGGGAATGAGGAAAAAATAAGAACCAAGATAGATTATGTAAAGGTACAAATTTTCAATGATGAATGTCATATTGTGTACCTAAAATGTACCAATAAAATTAATTAAAATAAAAAGAACCAGAGGAGCAGGGAAAATGTGTATCTCGTCTCCCCAGTATCCTGTACATGGCCTGGGACATAGTGGGTGTCCAATAAATAGTTAATAATTGAATAAATGATTACAAATGGTGATTATGAAACTGAATTTTCAAATATTGTTTCATTTTAATAACTTAGACTCTCTTACGTGTATGTATAACAGTCCATCACTTTTAAGTGTCATATCAAATAATTTCTGCATGAATACACAGTGTTGTATGATCCAAAAGCAAGCCCACATCCACACACACAGCTTCTAAAGCCCGCAGGAAAAGAATCTGATTTAAATAGTAAGTAGTTAATGTTAGTAAAGTATTCTAAACATGAAAAGGAACATGGGTGATAAACATAATGAGGAGCACTCGAGACATAAATAACTAGAGCAAACAGTTCTAGGAATCTGTAACATATCCTAAATTTAATAACATAACTGTGATTTTTTTTTTTTGTAAATAAGGAGAGCCACTGGCTAAGAGAGAAGAACTCTAAGATTTAAACCTCTATCTATTACTGATGTGTTTTCCAATTTTCTAGACAACAAATCTCTAACCCTAAGAATTCTTAAAGAATGATAAGTAAAGTGGAATTTCCTTCAAGACCCAGAATGTTCAGTAATAATCAATAAAGCTACCTTTAAGGTTACAAAAAACAAAAGCTGCCATGAGAGGAAAAGACCTGGAGTATGGAATTAAATGAACTATAGTAGCTGCTGTAAGACAGGTGTGCTCATCAAGCCTAGGTTTAACACTTGCCTGAACCCTCACTATAGTTCAGGTGAAAAGAAAGCTGATCTGCTGGGCTCTTGCACCCAGAGTTCAAGCGTGTGTCAGCAGGATCCACATTAACCAACACCATAGCACTGAGCTATATAAACTTGACATCAGGAGGTTACTTAGTAATAAGGTAACGTAAAAGAACATGAAGCAAGGATGAGTAACAATTACAATTTATCATAAGTATACCACAAGTACAAGTAACATGACAATTTACACTACAATCTCAGTGATTTGAAAATTTTTTTATCTCTATTTCTGCCTATGGGTGAATGCATTTAAAGAGGCTTAGGTAGAATTAATATTTAGCCAATCCACAGGCCTGTGTTGCTGAAGAATCTGGTACTCACACATCTGTCTGGCTCTCTGGCCCTGTCAAAGACACTTATCCAAAGCCAGGTACAGGGCTGAGGGTGCAGCTCCATGGCACAGCCCTTGCCTGGCAGATGCAAGGCCCTGGGTTCAATTGCCAGTATGGAGCGTGGGGCAGATCTTCGTGGGTTTAATGGTCCCCTGTGTGAAAGAACACTTTGGACTCACTCCAGTTGTATAATTCTCCAATTACAGCATGCTGTGCTGTTACTACATCCCACACATGATCCAGTGGCTCTGTATGGCAAGAAACTTTTATTGCTATTAAAAAGGACAGTGATAGCTAATTCAAGAAGAGGTCACATGTGCTTGGAAATCTTTTAATTCAATGTTCAGAGAAGAGTTATATTTGCTTCATAAATTATTACAACATTGTAACTCCTTTACATTTCAAAACTATGGATTTTATCAAGAGCGAAGCCACAAAAACTGTCATACGCCCAGCACGGCAGTATACACCTGTAATCCCAGCACTCTGGGATACCCTATCTCAAAAGAAAAGATAAAAAAGGCTGGAGATGTAGCCACTGTGAAATTCCTACATTTAATCTCCAGTACTGGAGTAAAAGCCCTGTCATAAGAGGCAGGGCATCCTGTCAACAATATATAAAATAAAGGCTGTGAAGAACAATTAGAAATTCTCACCACAAGACAACAAATAGAAATTCTAAAAATGCAATTAGAAGAACATGAAATCCCTGACGAAGCAATGTCAGGTCTAAACCCAGCCCCATCACTCACTAGCAGCAGCCCCTGGCAAAGCCCATCTGTTTCTCTTACCTTTTCCTTGAGCAAAACAAACCAGAATGATGCTCAAGTCTCCTTGAGAGCTCATGAGACAACGGGGACTCCTGAACAGCAACCATCATCAGACCTGGGCTTGTCAGGACTGGGCATACTAACCTGATTCCACCACCTGGGTAGGACTTGGGACACTGCTCTAGGCAAAGGAGAGAGCAAGCAGTGACAGACCATTGTTCTAGAGCAAGGGCAAGAGGGCTAGAATGTTGTTTAGAGAACGTATGCACCAGAACAAGACCACAAGAGGGATAAGAATGGAATTGAGCACCAAAATCATATGCTCTCAGCCCAGGATAACAGGAAGGCAACCTGTGAGGGGCTATGGTTCTACCTTAGAGAACCACTCTATCCTACACAACTCAGGGCTCTGCCCAATTCTCTGCACCCCAAATGGTTTGTGTGTGAAATCTACACATGTATGGCAATATGCTTCATGGATAGAACTGAAAATAGACCCACCATGGGTATTTTAATGCCTGATGGTCAGGCCAACAGGGTCGCGACATGACAAAGCCATGCACACAGCCATAAAATACCCTGAACATGAAACATTTCTCCCAGAAGAATACAAAAATAATGTTTACATAGAAGACCAAAAATAATTAAGGCAAACTTGGATCCAAAATGTCTTGGGAAAAATGTATAAATTTCTAGTGTTTTCAGTAACCACTGCTCTCTACCAACCCCTTATCCCAACACCACCAAAAGCCCCATAACCCTGTAACTCATCTAAGATGACCTTCAATGCTCACCAACCGCCCAGACTGCCCTGATGGGGCAGGTTCTGTTATCAAGACCATGCAGAATTACTGCTGTACACATCTGGTGTTCAGTGAGGAACACCACTCTTGCCCACCACCACATGAAACCCAGACAGCCACTCACTCACAGGACCTACTTGTTTGGGGGCATCCATGGAGGCTGTGTGAACTTCAGAACCTCGAGGACCATCACACTCAAACACCACTGTGGGAACAAGGGGTCTGTTAGCAGAGGGCGGGTGACACGCCTGAGCGTGCACACTGCATGAGTTCATTACAGATTAAGCACTTTCGCAAAACAGACACCAATGCCTCGCCTGTGGCCGGAAAATACCAAATTACTGTAACACTTACAGTAAGAGACTGGGATAATGGCTGCCTGGGGCCACTGCCCTTTTTAATTCAGGCTCCACTGCTGAAGAAAGCAGTCACTGACAATATTAATTATCAGTGTGTGTGTGTAAAGGGACCCTCTTCCTGCATTACTTACCATTTGGCCCCTGTCATTCTGCACTAGGCTGGCTTCTGGTGCGCCCTTCACAATTCTGTCTCCCTGTCTTTCTAGTGCTCTTGCCCTATCTTGACACACAGAGCACAGCCTGATCCAATGTCCAGCAAGCTCGTTACAGAGGGCTGAGGGTACTGCAAGGCACCACAGACCATCAAGAGCAGTCTGGTGTATCCACAGTCCCATCGTGTCCACCAGGATATAACCAAGCCGTACATCAGGCTGGAAGGGTGCTTTGATTTCCATTTGTGCTAGTGGCAATATAATTCATTAGCATATTCATTTCTGAAGAGTCTACTCTAATTAAAACGGAACATTTGCAAACAGGCTTATCTCAAATTAAACCACATGGCACTTGAATGCCAAAAAAGAAAAAGAACGTTTCAGGTGTTGAGCAGGGGACCACCACACAAAATTCAGAGGCTGAAGGCGCTGTCACCAGATAGGGGCTGAAATCTAAATGTGTCCACAATGTGGACAATTAAATGACTGGCAGAAGAGCAACCCCCCCACCTCCATTTGGCTGGGCCACACGTGCCCACTGGGGTGGCAATACCTGTGTGCGCTCGCATGTGGGACCTGAGGTGGCTGGGCTGGTGGAAGCTCTTCCCACACTCAGCGCAGATGAAGTCTCCCGGGCGGGCCTGTGTCCGGAGTGTCCCTGCCATGGTATGGTGTGTTGTCATGTGCAGCGGCCATGGCGGGATTGGGGTGGAGGCAAGGAGGTGGGAGGAGAGGGGATAGGGAGAGGAAAATATCATTAGTATACCTTAAGCATCAGCATGGGAAGCTACCTCTAAGCCCTTGTGATAACTGCCAGACACTGTCTTGGCTGGGCTGACACACCAGGCATGGTAGGGACTTCGAGGATGCATAAGTTATAGTGAATTAAAAACTACTTCGGGGACAAGGCAGAGACAGGGAAGTGCCACCTCTGCGGGGCAGCATGCGGCTCCAGGCAGCTGGACGCACAGCCCGGCCATCACCCAGCTCTGTCAGGCAGCACATCGGGCAAATCAAAGTGACATCAGTGTGACAGAGATGAGGTGCATGGACAATAGGAAGTGACCAGGACCAGAGCCCATTCACACCCCAGCTATGATCTCAGGAGACTGATGTGGAGCAGACATGCATAGCCATCAGCAAGACTGGGACCTTCTGGGCTTCCTACCTGCCTGCCTCTAACACAGAGGAAACCTGGAGCCGGGTGAGCCAGCCAATAAGAGGCAGCACCCCATCAGAAATGGTGGAAAACACTGAAACACCCGTTTTTCCCCAGAACACTCAACCACACTGAATTTAAGCTCTGGGCTTCCAATTTCCTTCTGATCCCCAAGCATAGACCTGGCTTTTATTCAGAAAGGGATACAGAAGGTGTGGGCTACCTGTCTGCACACTTGTCCTGTCTCAAGGTATTCTCCCAAAAGCAAACAAATAGAGCTCGCTTTTCCTGGAAAGGAGCTCCAAAGAAAAGTCTCTGGGTCCATTGTAACTAGCAAGCATTATCTAAAACATGTTATATCAGTAGCAATAATTAAAAAAAACGATGCTCCTTTAGCTGTCTCTACAGTCTGACATTTAAATATAACAGGCAAATGCAAAGGATGACAAAAGGACACTTCAGTCATACTGGCTGAAAAGCAGATCTTCACCATTGTTCTTGCCCTAAAAGTGGGCTGCAACACATTAAAAAAATATATAAAATTGCTTTACATTATAGGTCATATTTTTGGAAATCAAAAAATGTAATGCAAGAAATGTATAGACTGTGAGGCAGATCTTATTTCATTTATTTCACAGGTCATGAAAATAAGTCTTTAAAAAAATCTGAGAATTTGCCCACTAAGCACTTGATTTCCCATTGCCTTATTCAGGAACACACACACACAGCCAAACATACAGACACACAAAACAGAAACACATTTTTTAACTAATGTTTCTTCTATGAGAGGCCATTGACAAATGTTAACAGGTGCCCTGTTCACAAAATGTGAAGATAATTCCGTGGGAATGTCCTAAATGACCCACAAGACTGCTGCTTCATAGATCCTGCTTCTCTTTTGGCCTAGGTGACAATGTCTGGGGAAGGACGCCATAAGCACAGGCAATAAAAACCGAAACAGACAAATGAGACTGCATCAAAGCAGAAAGCAAGCAAGGAAACAGTCGACAGAGTGAAGAGACAGCCCAGCAAATAGAAGAAAACACATGCAAACCATACATTTCATAAGGAGTTAACATGCAAAATGCACACAAAAACTAACACTTAACCAAGCATCATAGAAGAAAGGAAAAGGGTGGGGAGCTGCCCTGGACACCTGAGCAGCCACACCTGCTACAAGGACACTGATGCTCAGTCAGGGCTCTTGATTTCTACACCACAGAAAAACTTTCCTGTGGTCAGCTTGTCAAATAGCTGACACTCTTAACCTTTCTGAATGGAAAAGCTCTCCTTTCTCTTACTTTGGTGAAGGAAAATTTCAATGTGAAAAAAAGTGATTGTGTTCCCCAGTTTCATTATCAGCTGGCCAACGAAGGCTCCGGCAACTGCTCTGGTTGTCTGGATTTCCCTAGGTATGTTCCAGACAGGAGTTTCCAACTATACTTTCATGAGATACCTACTGACAGTGATGACGAACAATGTCGTTTGTATCCAACAGTCACAACGTCTAATATCTAAGTCACTAATATTCTTCTACTAGGCTAGTTACTATTTCCTATCCAAATTAGCAACAGAAAAATCACAGTACCTCTATTCTTCTGCTCTTGAGTACTCATATGCATGCATGAGGCGCATGTTCACACACACAATACACACACACACACACACACACACACACACATAATTTGTCCATGCATCTTACCATATCCCTGTCTCTTTACTTTTTAAAGAAAGTACACTTGCCCTTTATGGTCAATAATTTCATGCCCGAGCTTCTCCAAAATTCTGAGTTAATCAAAAGGTTATAAACTTAATTTGAATTGAAAGCTACCTAGTGAGCAAACAGCTCAAATGTGCTGACCTAGAAACTCAAGGTGTAGACAAAAAGAGGCCTTAAAATGAATAAAAAGAACCTGGCCATCCTCAGAAAGCAATAAGTGGCCTTCAAGTCCTTTGTTTTATCATATTGTATGTAACACATCATCTGTAAGCGGAAAGAGGAGACCAGAGAGATTCTCCAAAAAAAAGCAATTGCTTAGGCATGCAGACACCTTCACCCTGGCCACATCAATGTATCCTTGGTCTAAAAGACTTTTTGAAAGTTCCAATCAGAAAGATCTTATGTATTATTTTACGCAGAACTATTGCATGTCATCTTAAATTTTTTACTGTAAAATCCATATTATCATGTAATATAGGCAGACCACAAAGTCTGGAGGCACAGATAATTTATTACTTTAGTACTACTGTAGCAGTAATCCATTTATGTTACATTCACATTTCCAGACTTGCCAAGTTGTAAAAAGATTACAGAAAACAGTGGCACAGTCATGTCCTTCCACACTAGCTGGGCTTTCTAGATGCTGCACTCCTTCAGAAGCATCATCCAGGCAAACCTGTGAAGAACAAGTCTCTGAGAAGCAGTTTTCTTAACTTCTGAATAAAGCCTGGCGCCTAGCACAGCACTAAACCCCGAGTTCTCTGCATGTGCGGATGGTCACACTGCTGGCAGCCACAGCCTTGTGCTCCTCTATAGAACTCCACGGCACACTTCTGCCTCCCTTTACTACAGGATGACATGATAGTCAGTGCCGTATGTGGAGAAGCTACGACCTTTAGATCTGCAGGTGACACCAACTAGGAGATACAGTGCAAATCCATCAGATGACAGGATAAATATCCAAAATGTGTTGCTCACTTGTGTCAGAAGGTAGAAAAGATTTATTTGACAAAGGATGAACAAAACAGGCATTGACATGCGTAAGTAAAAATGTACTGTGTGTACACAGCTAAGAAGAAGGCTCAGCAGGAGCAAGTGGAAAAGCAAAACCTCAGAAATTTAGTTTCTAATGTATTTCGGAACACGTCCAAGATGCACTTGCTTTGGCTGCGCATACTTCCTAAGCCATGTGACTGCCACAGATTCCCCCAATAGGAAACATCAGTACTCCCTCACCTCATACATGGTCAGGCCATTCTAAGCCTGTCAGGTTTCCTCCCTGCCAAAGCACTTCAGAAGCTTTGTAAATTAATACTGGAACATGGAAAAATGAAAGAACAGGCTCTGGAGGGCAGGACCCCTGACTCAGGAAAGGACTTCGGAAGCAGAAGACTTTCAAGAGAGATGCTCTCAGCTCACTGTGAGTGGCCCATGGAGATCAGGACCAACAGAAGTCCACCAAAGCTAATGTCCCCTGAGGGTGGCAAGTCCTTCCCCACTGGGGCGTTTGATCTGGCACTGCCTAGTGCTTCTCAGTATACTGATCAGGGGCCTAGATACTTGCAAGTTCCTCTCTAAGCCTGGGAAGCTGGGATCCTAAAACTATACTCGTTAGTAGTTATTTTAAGATCAAAAAGTCTGAAACACTTTTGTTAAGAATCCTAAAGCAGAGTGGGCTTAAAGACCATAAACTGACTGACTGACACAAAACAATGTTTCAATGTGTACACCAGAATAAACAATCCAAGAAGAGCACTCTGCTTTGTAGACTAGGAGTATTTTTCACATTGAAAGGATAAATATTTGACCTCTATTTCACAAAATGTCCTTAGTTAGAATCATTCATTTAAAAACTTTAAGGAAAAGAAATAAAATATTTTAGTCTACTTTTGTATTTCAAATTGTCACCTGAGATTCTGAAAACATAAAGTCACTTCTACTTCCTTACAAAAGCAGCAGTTACTGCCCAGGCCCTCAGGGGAGCACAGGGGCCTTTCCCACTGTGGCTACCTCACCGTCATGTAAAAGGGCAAAGTGACACACTTCGTGGAGGACATTACCAGGTAAATAAATGACAAGGTCAGCTCACATTGTGACAGCCATTAAAACCCAGTGCCGGCCGGGAGTGGTGGTGCATGCCTGTAATCCCGGCACTCGGAAGGCTGAGGCAGGAGGATCACTGTGAGTTCGAGACCAGCATGAGCTACAAAGTGAGTTCCAGGTCAGTCTCAACTACATAGTGAGACCCTGTCTCAAAAACAAAACAAACAAACAAACAAAAAAAAAACAGTGCCAACATCTAGTGCAGTATGGGAAGAAGAGGACAAGACGGTGAGGAGGTGCCAAGAACCAGGGTCCACAACAAGCACCTTTGCCATGGGTCTTTGGAAACCCACACCTGCAAAACTCTGAGAGCCTCCCATCCCAAGGCCGGCACACACTGGCAATGCCCTTGACAGCAACAACCTGCAAGACTGCCGAACACCACAGGGCCCACAGAACCCACTGGCAGAACCGAAATGGGAGAAGTGTGAAACAAATGGTAGCCATCTCCTGCCAGCCTGTGAGAGGCTGCAGGTGACACTGTCACACATAACACACTCCTGAGAGTAGACAAGAGCCCAACACGGCGCCTGGGGCCACTCCTACAACAGCTCAGCACTCTCCAGGTGTTCAGCCTAAGCTCTTTCTAGAGCTCATGGGCACACAACAGGTGCAGTGGCTGGGTGCAGGCCTGCAGTCCCAGCACTCAGGGAGGCAAAAGCAGGAGGATCAAAGTCCCACCTGGGCAACTTTGAGACCACATCTCAAAATAAAACTACAAATAAGAAAAGCGATGAGGACGGACGTAGGTCAGTGGTAAAGCGCCCCTGGGTTCAATCCCCTAGTACTACAAAAAAAACAACAAAACCAGGTAGAGAGGGCAGCTTACTCGGGTCTTTACTGCAGACACCCAGGAATGGAGAGTGCCTCTAAGTCCTCCACTGGAAAACACCTCCAGACGAGCCTCCCTGGGACCACGCACAGACCCAAGACGCCATTCCACTCCTTGCTGGACACTGCATGCCTGGGAAATCTAGCTGCCACCACCTGTGGCCACTGGGGACCCTCACACCATGAGCTGGAGTGGTGGGGCAGGGGGCAGGGGGCCAGTTCTGCCGGTAGCAGATCCCCCAGGCCTGGACCACAACTGTCAATGGTGCTTCCAACTTCCCAGTGTCTGAGGCCCTGAGTCTCCCAGGGTATTTCAGTGGTGACTTTTTTTAAGGAACTATAGGGTCACAGCAGATACTCTGTTCAGAGAAGGTTTAGGAACACCCGGTAACAAACTAAGAGACTGAGTCCCATGGGAATTCATCTATTCTGCTTTCTTTCCCCATTGAGTTTCCATTGGTGCTTTTTATGTATACGGTACAGTCATATTCATCATTGGGAATCTGTTTTGCTTTTTAACAGTACCTATACTTCCCCAGGTCCCATCTGTTTAAAGAACAAGGGCATTACACTCAAGGCATATTTCCAATGAGGCATGAGGAAAACTACTGGCAATTCCTTATCAATATTGGGTAAACATCCTTAATCCAAAACGCAAAATGTTCCAAAACTAAAAAAAAATGTTTGAGTCCTTACATGATATCACAAACAGCAAACTCTACAGGATGGGCCAACGTATAAACATTTTTTTGTGCACAAACTTATTAAAATTCCTATGAAGAATGATCTTTCAGCTATTAGACTATGAAACATAAATGAATTCTGATTTTAGACGTATGTCTCATCCCCACGATAACTCATTATAAGGAATCTAAAAGTTTCCAAAATCAAAAGAATCCAAAATATAAACTCCTATTTCCAAGTATTTCAGATAAGAAACTCAACCAGCATTACTATTAGCAATCAATACTAAGAGAGTGGGAGGAATAGAAGCCATTGGCAGGAGTATTTTTTTCAGGAATTTTAGCATAACTCAGTTCTCCTGACTTCATATTGATACGTGTATCCTCTGCAAGGCTTTGCTAACTAATTCTGGAGTACTGTTTAAGTATTTTTCAAATCACTTATGCACTGGATGGGGGACTTAACTCATTGGTGTTGCCACCTGCCTCAAATCACTTATGCATAAGAATAGGAAAATCACTTCAAATGGACAGTCTCCTTTTTTGAGAAAGAAGGACAATGAACAAACATCTACCAATGCTTTGTTTAAAGTGATAATAAAACATGAAGGGTAAGCAAGCCTGCCTGCTCCCATCAAGTCTCAGTATGGAGAGGATGTCACTGGGTTTCCCAGTTATCAGCAGCATGAAGGACATGTTCAGACACCACTGACCCAAGCACAGATTCCCCCCCAGGGCAATGCTTCAGGGCTGAGCTCCCGCCAGCCAGGGCAAGAAAGACAGCAGCCTCGCTGTGTGATGAAAGGGCCTATGACTGCCCTCCAGGACTCCCGGTGGCAGGTAGGCACTTAGGCTCTTCCTGGGGAGCTCCCGAGTGGCCAGGGAGGAGGGAGCCCGCACATCTTACCTCTGTGCTCTGGCCCGGGACTGCTGACACCCCAGCCCTGATAGAGTGTAGCAAAGTCCTTTGGAATGTATGTCTTAAAGATGTTGAGTATGTCCAAGCGCTTCTCGTGGCCCTCAGCCACTGGCTCCTGCTTCATGGAGTGTAAGACGGGGGGCGCCCCAGCCATCCCAGGCTGGGCCTGCAACGCTGGATCCCCTCTAGACCCCGCAGCACAGGTGGCCAGTGTCCTCAGCTCCTGGGCCGCCTTCAAGGGGGGCTCACGGGGAGGTAGAGGAGGGCTCCCTTCGCTTTTCGCAGGAGGCTGACCCTGAGGCTGAGGGCTGAATTTGGCTTTCAGGGAGTCCGGGGCACTGTGCTTATTTGGAGGAGCAAAGCCAGTCCCCGCCAATGGAACCCCAAAATTCTCCACTGGCTTGCTGCTGCCCAAGGGCTGGGCACCCACCCGAGTTATAACAGAGGGTGTGGGGGTGGCACTCCTGCCAAGGCCTCCGCTGCCCTGGGCAGATGCTGGCTTGGAGCTGGCCTCCAGTTTGGGTTTGGCCAGAGGCCCCTGCACTGAAGCACTGGAGGGTTCCTGGCCTTGGCTATGTTTGGTCTGCCGATACCCGTCGGGGCCAGATGCCCACAGTGCACAGGGGCCGGAGGAATGGCTCTCCTTATTCTTAGGCATGCTAGCCGCTTTCGTGGTCACTCCCAGGGGAGAAGAGCTGCCTTTGGGTCCAGGCGCCCCACCTGGCCCTTGAGTGCGGGTGAAGCGAGCAAGGAGCAGGGGCTGGCACTCTTTGCCCCCGAGGACAGGTGGAGGCCCCGTTCGTCCACTCCGGGCAAGGTAAACCAAGTTGCTTCTTAAGCTCTTGTAACCGTTGGGCTGAATCCACTGGGGGGCCATGGAGTTGCAGCTGACCCTGTGCCAGATGCGCTTGTGCATCCATAAGACCTCCGGGTAGTAGGTCTTGTGGTTACAATAAGGACACGGGTGAATGACCAGAGCAGCTTGCAGGGAGGTGGCCACTTCCTTATTGCTGGAGTCATCCCGGGTCGACCTTGCACTTAAATCTAGAGGGACCAGATCTGGGGCTGGCGCACTCCTTCCTGCCCCAGAATGCTCCTTATTGTGCAAATCGGACAGCTTGTCTTTAGGATGACCAGCCTGGCTCTCCAATGTGAGCTGCAGGTCAGCTCCTTCTGTATTCGAAGGGAAGTCCACACCATCACTAGAGCTGGGCACCTCCTGCTTGGGGTGAAATGCTGGCATCTTTAAGTCAAGAGAAAATCTATGTTGTTCAGGACGTTTGGAAGTCTCTCTGCTACTGTTTTCAAGTATGGACACAGAAGTCGCAATTCCCACCTTGGACTCGCTGGTGTCTTTTCTTGGAGGATTATTTCCAAGTTTGTGACTCTGGTCTCCGTTGGAGAGCACAGTTGATGCTACCTCTTCAGAAGAGCAGCAGCGCCTCGGCTGTCCCCCTGGAGGATGCAAAATGTAAAAGGGGAAGTTACCATTTCTCGTCAGAATTGAACAAGACACAGGAAATTGAACAGTTAAGAGAAGCACAGCCAAGACTCACTGGCCTGGCATTCAGAGAGGCAGGCGAGGTCAGGGTCGGACAGGCAGCTCCTGGGTGGGCTCTGTTCTCAACAGCTCTGTCAGAAGCAAACCAAAAACCAGAACCAGGCAATGCTGCTTTGGGACAGGATTCTTTTTTCAAGCCATTAAAACAACTCAAAAGAATGAGAGAAAATGAAAATAGCTGCATATCTAGGTACAGGTACGTATCACCATACTAACAGAAGGTGACCTATTATACTAAAAATTAGGAAAAGAACTTAATTGATAGTAACCACATAACTCGACACAGCAAGGGTCTCCTGGAAGCGGAGATCTCCCACAGTCATTTTAAGGTAAGAAAACCAGAGAAGAGCTGAGTGTGGTGATAATACACACCTGTTTATCTAGCACTCTGTGAGGCTGAATAAGGCAACAGCAAGTTCAAGCTCCATTTGGGCAACCTAGCAAAACCGTGTCTCAAAATAAAAACGGTCTGGGGGAGTAGCTCAGCACAAGGTCTTGGCTTCAACCCGAGGAAGAACGGAAGGAGAAGCCAGGAAAGAAGGCAAAGAGGAAGAAAGGAGAAAGAGAAAGAAGTGAGGGATAAGGGGAAAAGGAAGGAGGAAGAAAGGGAAAAAAAGAAAGAGAAAGGAAAGGAAGGGAGGACCAGAGAAGTCAGGTACATTGCTGGTCACACAGGCAGGACTAGGCACAACTCCACCATCTGCCTCAGCAATTGCAGCCTACATGGTAAAATCCACTTAATCTGGCAGTCAGCCCAGCCCAGTCTCTCCTAGAAAAGCCAACTGGCAAGTCCAAAATCTTGATGCCAAGTCCCTACAGAGGCTTGTGAGTGAGGGGACAGCCATGCTATTCACCTCATCAACCACAGGTTGCAGTGGTGGCAAGCGGGGCCTGGGACAGGTCCTGCCACTGGGAGGCCTGGTGTGGGAGCACTGTCTGTCACCCAAGAAGGGCCCAGCACAGTGCTAACCACAACCACAGATTACAAAGCTTCTCCAAAGTCAGGCAAGACAACATTGGCAAGGGTGCACAGTGTGAGTTACCAAAGTGTTTCAGGTCCGCCTTTATGACCTCAGATTTATTTACATCTAGACATCAAACTTCAGGAGGTGGGTGGATATTCTGGAGATGTAAAACTCTGAACTACAGAAAACAAGATTAATTCTTCATCATCAACAAACCGTCCGTGCCATAGCCAGATCACTCTGGGCTGATTAAATGTTAGGTATCTGTTTTTAAGAAGACCCAACATTAGTGGTTTTCTTAAATAAGTTTTGTTTTGTTTTGTTTTTGTACTGGGGATCAAACGTGGGTCCTTGTGCTTGAAAGGCAGGTAGCAGAACCACTGAGCTAAATCCCCAGCCCTTAAATAAGATTTCTAATGTTCAGTCAAATGTAGCTATCTAAGCATTTAGAATGTTCTTTTAAAATGTTCTACGTGTATTTTTGAAGGGAAAGACTTAGAAATTCTATCAAATGAGTCCAAAAATCTATTTTCAAAGGTTCTTAGGTAGAAAAGCACCTGCCACAGAAGGTGCTAAACCCAGATGGGACGAAGTGTGGTAACAAATGCTCACTTTCAAGTACGAGACAGTTAACAAACCACTCCTAAGTGATGTTAAAGGATTATGTTCATAGGAAAGCATGGCCCGATGTGGTGATCACAGGAGCTGATGTGTTCATCAGGTGGGACAAAGGAAGATGAAACTGCTGGACTTCTGTCAGTTCACAAGTGCTGGGGTCCAAGCACAGCCAGGTATACTTATCCATCACACACAGGCACGGGCATGGCTCAGAAAATACACGGCAGCTCAGAGAACACCACTGACAAAAACGTTTGCTTAGCTTTGAATTAAACATGGGAAAGGTGGTCTTACACTTCCTTTAATTCAGAGCAATGCTCATATGTTACATTTTTAAATAGTCACAAAGAATAAGTAATGGGGGGGTGGTTCACCTGCATTAAAAGAATAAAGATTGATGAAAACACAAGCCAGAGACAACTAGTTCATTTGCCAAGTGGAAACAAAGCGGTGTAACCCCATACTGCAGGGGGACAGTGGGGATTCTAAGCATCACAGTCAAAATCCCTAAATTGTATGCCCCCCGAAATGACTGCAAAACAACTTAACATCCAGCACCTTTGAGCAAGACCCTAAGTAACAAATTAAAAGTGAGTGATATAACCCTGCGTTATCAAAGTGTCAATGTGAGTAAATGACAAATCTTCAAAGCAACATCCAGCTAGCTAAACACTGGGCAGACTCCCTCACGGAGGGTGGGACAATGTGACCCCATGGATCTCCACTGGGGTGGGCACGGAGTGTTATCAAAGGAAACTGATAACCAAACACTAAAGTCCACCATTGCAAAGCAGCCTCCAAACACTACACTCCCATCTGCAGCAGATGGAAGGCACCACTGACTTCCCCAAGAACCCACACTCCACACTTCCCCAGGTGTTGCTGTGCTTGGCATTCCAGCTCCTTTAGAGGTGACACAAGGAGGCACTGGATCAGAATTAGACAGAGGAAGAGCACTCCAGAGCTCTGAGCAGGAAGCAGCTTTGCAGGGACAGCCAGCCATAACCAAGATGCCGAGTATCCATCTGGAGACAAGAGGATCTGGCTCAGACAGGCCTGGGACCCAACTCGGCATAGAGGAAGTATTTTGCTCTGGTGAGGTGCACTGGTCTCCTCAGGAGCATACTGCATGTAAGACCCACACACAGGTCCACAGTGCACGGTAAGGCTTGGCCTGCTCTTGTGGGCCCCAGCAATAATGCAGAAAATGAACCCAGACTTTCACTCCTCGTTCTCCTCTAAACAAGATTTCTGGGTCAGCTCACGACTGCCTCCCAAACTAATGCTGCCCTGGCTCATGTCCTCACTCATTCCTTGTGTTGGCTGAGCTTCAAGCATTGTGGACTTGACTGGCCTGGAAGTTGCCCAGAAAATTAGCAAAACATACTTCTGGGTACATCTGGATGGGTCAGAAGCCAAGACCCTGGGAACTATATCTGGTCCCTCTGACACTATTCCCCTACTCTGCTTCCTGGCCACCATGAACTTAGCATCTTTGTTTCGCAAGGCCCTTCCACCATGATATTCCTTCTGTGGACCAACATGGACAGAATCTCCTGAAACTGAGTCAAAATAAATCTCTTCTCCTGTAAGGTGCATGCTGGATACTGTTTCTCAGCAACAGGAAAGCTGACTACCACATTTGTGGACAAGCTCATCTTATAGCTGGGTGCCCACTAACCCCACAAGTTCAGGGAGTTGCAGCTTGCTCATTCTGGGTCACTGTGGCAGAGGCTCCTGTGGGCTTAGGCCCAGGCCCAGGCACACACACACACACACACACACACACACAGGTGCCCTTAAAAACTCAGAAACTCAGTGAGGATACCGTGTAGAAGAAAGCACTCTTTTCTCATTCTGGGGAGAGGGTAGTAAATATACCTAACAAAAAGCTGTCCATGTGAACAACACAGAGGTGTCCCCTCCCACGTGATGACTGCCAGGATTTCACATGCTGTCTGGTTGTAGGTTACCAATCAGGAAGGCCCTCATTTCTGGTGTGTATTTATGATTCTTTTCCTTTCCTTCTCACTGAAACCCACCCAGAGGGATGCTGTTGCCATGACTCCCTTGTGAGGTGGGTGTGGCACAGAATTGTTTTGGCCTATGGTGACACTAGCCAGGCCGACCCCTGGGGAGCAGCCTGCAATCCCTCCAGGCCTGGACTACTCCTGGGCTTTTGCTTTTCTCAAGCCCTTTGTACATCTGAAGGAAGCCACATTTGCAAGCGTGTGAGCTCCCAAGCCAGCCTGTGCACACTGGCTGTTCCTCCCTTCCTCTGTTCGCTTAGCTCCACATCTAGGTAGAAGCCACTCAACTGTCACCCAAACGTCAAACATGCTGCTTTTCAGATTCTCTTGTGCAAGACATTTTTCCTGCCTAACTTGTATGTCTAAGTGTTTACAATAAGGGTCTGGGCTGGGGATTGAGATCGGGGTGCTGCCGCCTGCCTCACAAGTGCAAGGACCCGAGTTCAATTTCCGTACAGAGAGAGAGAGAGAGAGAAATCCTTCCCACTTCTTTACTGTTTTGTTTCCTATGGGTCACCATTTATCTTCATACATACTTTAACTGAAAAACAAAAAGGATTTAATGACCATCCTGCCTCTCTCAGTGTCTAAGGAACACTTAAGATTTCACTCAGAGCTTGGTATCTGCAGTGCGTGGCCCTGTAGGGATCGGGACACGTGAGACCACTGTGGGACACCATCCACCCTGCACAAGTGGGGAAGTGGGATCCCACCTGCATCATCAGTGGTGAGGAGTGAACAGAAATGCTACATCCACTAGTGGCATCCTTGACAAGACCGGAAATGCCACATTCGTTAGTGACATCCTGGACAAGACCTCAAGATGGCCAGGAAGAGGGAAAAGGAGGGGAAGAAAATGGCGCTATGTCTCAAAGATTAAGAAAAGGTAAAGGATGAACAAGAGACTACGTTGGGAAGGAAGCAATTATCATCACTGAGATTCTTTTTTTTTTTTTTTAAAGGAGGAAGCCATAACAAGGAAGAATAGGACTTTTCCTGTGAATCCAGGAATCTCTGCCCCTGGGCCAGGGCCCAAAAACTGGCCTAATCAGAACCTTCATGGATAGATCCTTTAATTCACAATTGTTCATGTAGTCTCCTGTAAGGACTCTTAGTTTTGAATTTTTCAACTTTTTCATGATAATTTCCTTTGCAATGAAAAATTAAAGGCAGCCTGAACAAAGCATCCCCGATATTACCTGCATTCTTCTTTTCACAGAACTGGGGAAAAACCTGCAGAGGCAAGCACTTGGAAATCTGTAAGAGTCCAGGTTCTCAACT